AAGCAGTGGTATCAACGCAGAGTACTCATAACTTTCTTCAGATTGCATAAACTAGGAATCCGACGAAAGTATGATGTTCAGCTCGTCAAAATGAACCTTCTGATATACTACGCTCCCTTACCGGTCCGTTTTCAATTTGCTCGATTTTTGTGTGAGGACGGGTGTTCGTAGCGGTGTAACTCAGCGAAGAATACACAAGGAAGATTCTAGTAAATATGACCAGTAGAGCTGTTTTCGTAGATTATTATGCGCTAGCGAACAGCGGAGGATCCCTTTTGCGCAGAGAAAGATAGGTCGATGAATTTTGGAAAAATCTATGTCTTTCAAATTTTAGCTACCGTAACCATACAGTAAGGCGCTAATTTGCAAAGCAGGTGTGTTTTTCGTGATCAGCAGGTCAAATAACCTCTATGCGCAAGTTTTCCGACGAATTCGGGCCCTTTGATTTTTTCTCGTTTTTACGCTCTGAAGCTCGCCGACGGGTTTTGGCCAAAATATTGATGATCATGGATTGGCCGGAAACTTCGCCCATAGGGGTTTTCGAACTCGCTAACTGCGAAAACAGTGCTTTTTGTGCAGTGTAAGTTCTTTTAGCAGAGTTATACCGAGTGAGCTGTCTCGAAACCAGGCCAGATCCAACATTTGCCTGCTCTTTTCGCATAATTGTTGGACAACTCACCCACTTGTTTTTACAGCTAAACATTAACAGAAGCCGTGCTATTGACCCATGGTTATTGTAGGTCTCCATTTATAAGAACTGCCCAGTTACGAGCTCACGAAATCACGTTCTCATGAAACCTCCGGAGTCACGACACAAAGAAAATCTGCACATTTTGTGAGCTATTGTAGATAGCAAAAAATAGAGTAGAGCATAGGAGAGTTCATAAAAACTTCGGTACGGAGGCAACCGCCCATGTACACGCATCGTTCACGGGCGTGTGGACTCTGGTGAAAAGATGCTCGAGCACGCCGTTTGTGCCGTTTCGCACTTTAGACCGATCGCCTTCGTGGATCTGGGTCTGTATGTGCATACGCAGAAAACAGAATTGTTCAGTTCATCGTTGAAACTCTTGTTGACAGGCGACTCGGTTCATTCACAATTTAATGAGCGGTGGAGTTTTCTGAAGAAAGAGCAACGTTTCCAAAGAGACGGTGTCATGCTCATAGCGATCAATCGATTGCTGCAGTGAGGGATCTGTCTACTGCACCGAATGCGCAATTGAATTGAAAGAGCCTGTAGATCAAATACTGTAAGAGATGAAGCGATAAAAACTCGCACAGCGTTTTCTAAACTACATTTCTTACCGTATGTCAGAAAAGATCCAATTTTGTGATATCATCAGTGGTAAATGATAAAATGATGATATCAATGACAACGACAGATAAGCACGGCTTAAATTCATGCGTTCGATTCCCACGTTCATCTTCCATGTAGGTGCAGAATTTCAGCCCAGGCTTCGGCGTGAAGCGAGTTGAAGCAAAAATGCCATTTTAGGTAAGAATTGGCAGCAGTGGCATGTGCCGATGAGAAATCGATCGATTGCTGGAGCGAGGGATCTACCAATTGCACCGAGCAATAGAACTAGAAAAGCCTGTAGATCACTTATAATTAGAGAAAGAGCGATAGAAATTTACTCAGCGTTTCCTCCAGTACTTTTCTTACCATATGCCAAAAATGATCCAAAAATGTGATATTATCAGTGATAAATGATAAAATGCTTATAGTGAGTAATAAGGGTGAATAAAAACTGCCCAACTTTTCGCAATAGTTTTTGATAATGAGAACTTTGTACCGAACCTGCTAATCGCGATTAACGCTGTGATAAATGTTCACAAAAGCCTTAACATAGAAAACAATAAGGTATCATTGTATGTCACCCCGTCACCACGAATTACGGACATACTGTATATCAAAAGATTCGTCTCATCAAGCTGAAGCCGCATCTTCTTGCAGATTTCATATAAAATTGTTTTAAAAGAAGTTATAGCTAAATCCCGCTTATCCCGCAAATCCCGCGAATCCCGCAAATCCCGTGAAGTCGCGAATCCCGCGAATCCCGCGAATCCCGACAATCCCGCGAATCCCGACAATCCTGCAGTTTTGGACAAATTCTACCGCTGCAACTGTAGTACTACCTGGCTTTCCCGGTCCAGCCCGGGTCATCAAGGTTTCAGTTCAATGGGTTCATCCGCAAAGGAATCTATAAAAAACATAGGGTCAAGATTTGCACAAACTTTGACGTTTATATATCTAAGATACTACTCATTCATATATTATTCAGCTGCGAAACTTTAGAATTTACAATAACCGATTGCGATTGGAGCGCGCTTTTCAAGGCCGATCATAACGCTGTGAACCCTATTTGGGGCTGTATCGAAGCGGTGCCTTGGTGGTTTTGAAAGCAGATTTGAACATATAGTAATACTCTCGACCTAGTCCACATTTATGTAAAGAAATCCGGAAAATTATTTGAAGGGAAGCAGGGAGCCACCCCAGGTGGCTCCCAGGTGGCGTGGGAGCCACCTAATTTCGAAAAACACTTATCATTTTTTAAAATCACATAAGTTTCTCATAATTCTTCATACTTATTTTGTGCTCATGGTTCTCCAACTACACAGCGAATTTGGTGCCATATCGTTACTTGTGCATTGAAAACGAGCCTATTTTGTTATTTTTCTCTTACAAGAATTGCGATTTGAATTCCCGCCTGCGGGCAGGCTAGCTCGGAGCACAGAATCTTCACATTGCTGGAATCTAAGTTCATAGGACAGTAGCATCAACAAGGAATGATGAAAAAAGAATGATATGTGCATTGTTTATCGGTAAACAAAGGGGAAGTCGTATTTTGGGGTCCGGAGCCCCGCCTCGGACCCCAAAATACGACATCCCCTTTACTTTTTCGGGCCAAAAACGATATCCAGCTTGTGAGAGCGCCACCCCCGCCGGGCTCTGGTTGACTCTGACTTTGAGCTGCGCGTTTCGACAGGTTTACTACCGACCCAGATCAATTCGTTGAGAAGCAGGTGAGCTACGGTAGTTTTCAGGGCGGATCTATAGTTTTGGCCTGCACTGTATGAATCCGTAACTGCGACGCTTACAATTGGTAACGATTAGCACACATACTAGGCTGTTTCAAAATTTCTGTCCGATTTTTATTTGCCTGCTGTTTAAACGCAGCAGTATTGTGAGTATTATCTATGAGCATTTCTTGCTCTTTCCAACGCTTACTAAATCTTGATCGAATAGCTTCCCAGTGATGAAATTCAAGCCCAAAGTCAAGGTACCAAAATTTAGTAATGCTCGAGAAAATTACAGAGAGGGATTTGCAGCGTTTATAAGTAACCTCTGCAATAGTTTTTAATGACCAAGGGCGTAACAGGCTAGTTTACGTACACTTTTTCTCCCCATAGAGAATGTCTCACTTTTCGAATTTTTTTCCAAAGATTGGAGAATTCAGTCATTCAACAAGCGACAGTAGTCCATGTATGTTCAATATTGCTTATGATAGAGTAAAGTGGTAGCAAGTAGCCAAATTAGTTTTTCATTCGCGACAGCGAGAAAAAATCAAATATCGGAGAGTCGGCATAATCGCGCGCGCCGAGGAAGACTAAAAATATCTTTTGATTTGCTCGTAAAAACTTATATGCAGCGGAGACAACTTGACTTTCTTGCCATTAAATAATCTCTGAAATATGGGTTATTTGATGATGGCAGCCAAATATGTCTGCTATCCTTATGTGGGAACAGTTTGTCAAAATAGACAGTCATGAAGAAAAACTTATAGACTTCTCTGAAATTTCGCTTCTTCTTCCCTTGACTTTTCGCATGGCATACTGTACATATGATAGGCATAATCTCGCTCAATCCAGCAAAATTTGATTTGTAAGTAATATTGAAATTTTGAAAAATTATAATATAGGTTGAACACTAAGTTTTGCAACTTTTCTCATAACTTCCCTCTCACTCAACATGGTGCACTCAAATTTTGCCACTGTGTTGGTTATTATGTATACTACAAGCGCAGCTGCTGTCCTACCAAATTCTGACGTCGCAGTGAGGGTTACGGTAGGTGTATGGTATGAAGGGGAAAAATTCAAAGTTTGACGGATTTGGCTGAAGCTTGGCATAGGGATGTTATCCGACATGCTGATCACGAAAGCGATAGTGAAATTGCGTGATAAGGGCTTTTTCGTGGGATTACTGTAGGTGTACGATATGGGGTCTCACCCTAAACAAGGAAAAAGGCGTTGATTCAACAAATGAATATGATATTCGCATTCGGCAGGTCAAATAACCTTACTATGTGAAGTCTCGGCGGAATTTGAGCTTCGGACTCTTTAGTCATTGACGGTCGTCCCCAGCAGCTCTTGCGTACATCGACTCGTTCGACTTTATGAGGACGCTAGATCTCGACATGCCCATAAATTTTGTTTCTTTCTTGCTAGGCCAAAGGAGTCAACCTCTTGCAATAATTTGTAGACGAATCCGGATCACTGCGTATGGTCTAGGCTGCCAAAGGCTTCATTTTAGCTTGAAACCTCAAAAATTCTCAAATTTTTATAGTTTTCGAAAAATGCCTGAAACTTTTCTATTTCGTGTTCAAAATTCAGACAATTTGTGCTCACTTGTAGCTCACATTGCATTCTACATGATGCCAAAGTTTGAGTGCGCCATGTTGAATGAGAGTGAAGTTATGAAACAAGTTGCAAAACTTAGTGTTCAACCTAATAATTTAAGTCAGAAAAACTGCAAATCGGACAGAACGAAACAACCTAGTATATAAGGTACGATGCAGAACTTTTATTGTTTTTCTATTCGTACTCCGGTCGTCTTTGATTTGCCAGTCGTGCTAAACTTAACCACATTATATACGAGAATGCAGAAAACTTTCGATAGTGAATATTTGGTTATGTATTGAGTTGATGCAAAAGTTCTGTCGCACCATTTGAAACATTTCTTGCTTTCTCTACGGATTTGCACAAAATTGATTTTGCTAGATAGCCCTTCTCTTTGGTAGTGCCTCTGCTGCTCTCTAATAATGGGAAGCTTCTGATAAGGAAGCAGGAGAATGAATTCACTTCAACTTCGGTCATTTCGAGTTAGGCTGCTGAAAATCCACCCTTTCCACAAAACAAAGTTTGTAACAAATTAGCACCTCTGTGAAGAGTTAACAAAAGACCTACTGTACTGCTTGCTGAGAATTTCACCGCAATTCTAAGATTTTTAGCAGCCTAATTCGAAATGACCGAAGTTGAAGTTAATCTTCTGCTTTCATCACAAAAGCTACCTCTTATTGAGGAGCGTTATAAAGAAAAGGGTTAATCCTTTCGAGAGTGAGAGCAAGAAGTTATGATTTTTAAAAATGATGCGACAGATCTTTTCTGTCAACCTAACATGAATTATAATCCGTAACATTATGCAAAAGAAATGTTCTTGTATCTGAGAAATAGTGTAGCACATTTTGTTGTTTAGAGCATCACATTTAGAAGTGAAAGTGTAACGCTCTTTGTTCAGCGAAAGGCAACAATCACAGAACATTGTGCAGCAGAAATTAGCAAATCTTTTTTTTACTCTTGCGACTGAAATATTTCGTAAGTTTAGCAGAAATATAACTCATTAAAAGACGGCAGTTTACTAGCAGTAAGCAATTACAACCTTGTCTCAAAACGAATACAGAAAAGATTGAAGCACAAAGATAACGCACAATTCTTGATATCAAAACATTGAATATGTGGTTACACATATCTTATATGAGTATAGCATGCAGTTAAATATGCAAATGGAACTGATTGTTAACTTCCTTCACAGATGAAAAATCTTTTCTGTGAAAACTTCCTTGAAGTGTGCTAGGAACGTGATCAGCGTTGGTCGCTGCACTTGCTGCTATTATTGGAATGAATTTTGCAAGACACATTATTTCCATTGTAAAAGCGAGCAATCACTCTGTTAAATTTAGGGCGATAAATCCGAATTGTTTCTAGTTTTAGCTCAAAAGCGCACTTCTTTTGTAAAGGTGAAAACTACAGAAGTCACATATAATACAAAAGTCACGATGATTTTGCGAGCTGCAAAAATTGCCGCAATTCAGCAAAGCATATAAAGGGACATAGAAGCGGACACTGGAATATAATGCTGCGTCTATACCTTTGCCTCGTAAGTCCCTGATATCTTAGTTCTTGAATATGTAGAGTAGTTTAGGTTTCTTCCGTTGCGTTGTTTATTGCTCTTGATGCAGCAGGATGCGAATTAAATGCTCATAACATCGCGCACCGCCTCCATGTCAAACATGCGGTTGGTTTTCCGTTACATCCACTTAGTATAATATAATATTTTAGATATTAATGAATGAGTATTTGTGTAGTTTAAGTTGCTGAGAAAGCGTTGGCAAAATGTCTAAATTCTCAAATTTTTAGAGTCCCGATTGTTGGTTATCAAATGTATCCCTGCTGCTTTTGCAAAACAATTCAATCCCGATCCCGTCCAACGGGACCGTGGAAACCGACAATGGTCCAGCTTTTTACCTAAAAGAAGAAACAGACAAGTACGTTTGGTCAAATGAATATGTTTTTGAAGTTAATAGATTGTTTTGAAAAGTTTTGTCCGATTTTTGTACGCCTGTTTTGAAGGCAGTTATTACTTAGATTGCAATTACCATTAATGCGCTAATACATACACCGCTATCTCTTAGGCCTTGGCAGAGTTCAGCGATTTCATCGTCGCGATTCATCGCGACAAGACAAGTGTTTGGAGTTCATTGCATTGCATTCGCCGATCTTCTTGTATTTCGGTTGTGATAGTTAGTCACGGTTACTCGTGTTGGAAAACTATCGCAAACGAAATGCAAGAAGATCGACATGCTATGATATTGTTACAGTTCTCTCGTGGCGATGAATCACGACGATGAAATCGCGTGAACTCTGCCCGAGGCCTCAATGAGTTAGCTTGAAAGCCTCAAGCTTAAGTTGCTAAAGTGCAGTCATGCTTGAGGGTAACATTCTTTCAAAAAAATTTCATTCATACACCCCTACTTAGAATTTTGAACTGACAAAAGAGTGTATAACGCTACATACATGCACACATTGATCCACTTGGAAATTCACTTATTTTTGGAATTGGTCTTCAAATCTCAAAGCTTCTCATAAGTCTCCCACAAGCGGCAGTGTAGTAATGCAGTTAGAGTCAAGCAAGAGCAAGCTAGACTAGTCAATTGATTTTTTTTCGTCTGCAGAAGTGAAAAAAACCGTTATCATAAAGTAAATAAAAAAGGATCTATCAGTTTAGGCAAGATTCTGCTATCTAATCGTCTTCGACCAAGTCTTTTCTCCTTATGTTCGTGTGACAGATTTTATGGTCATAGTCATCTAGTTTACTTACCTGCGCATCTGACTCCTATCGGTTGAGGACTACAACACCGCTGACAGAATGTGCAAAACTTCCGGAAATGTCGCGGAATTCCGGGAATGTTGCGGACTTCCGCGGAATTCTCTGAATTCCGCGACATTCACGGAAATTGCACATTCTATAAACGGTATTCTCGCTGGCATTATATTTTGCTGTTTCTTTTTCTTTTATGTTAAACCTTGAGTGTATAAGTAAATCAAAGTTAGCATACTTGCGCGCTGAGGTGGAGGCGGCTTTTTATCGCTCATAAAAATTTCTATGCATTAAGAACTATACATAAAATTTTCTGGGACATGGAAGACTTTTTCTGGATATAGGCCTCTCACCGGTGGCAAATAAATTTGTCTGCTTACCCTCTGAGGGAGCATGTCGAATGTTGGTTGGAGAAAGTTTGTAATTTCAAAAAAAATTCCTTTCCTTTAGCTGACTATTTACGGATGTCATACTGTACTTACGATAGTTAAAAATTAGCTCAATCCAGAAAAGAGCTGTAAAAGTTGTCTGATGAGGAAAATTATAAGCTTTTAAACGAAAGAAAAACCCAAATCGGACACAACTTCTGAAGCAACATAGTATTGTGCTAACTGGAATATTGCAGCGTGACCTTTCCAAGCCTTACACTCCAACTCACGGACCTTGAGCGCGAGGTAAGAATTTCACTTTTGCAAATAGCTGAATAGCTGAAGTATAGCGCTATATTCTAACTTTCTCCTGCGATAAACCCCGACACTAATTTTCAATACAAATGTTGAAATAATTTGAAAGATTGGTGCCGCAATATGTAATTATCTTATCCATTGCGAGAGAAAAAGTGGACGATTTTTGAGCCTTGTAAAGTGTAACGTGCAAATGTTGATTGCAAGAAGGAAGCTTGAAAATATCAAGATATCTTCCTTTCAGTTTGGAATCGGGCCCCAAGACGACGTACTTTATGGTTGCAGTAGTAACAATTCCCTAATCGTTTGTACTATACAGAAAAACCACAGTGAAGAAGTTGTCCTTGTCGAGCTCGGTCACACTCATAATCCTCTCCAAGGTCCGTACTATGAGGTCAAGGGAAAGACAGAGACATAATAAATTGTGTCTGCAACAAAATCCATGTGTAATCTTTCTAGTTTTGTTTTCTTAAACGTATGTGTGATAAAAGTTATACATACAGCAATGTTTACAACAGCGTAGAATGATATCACAGGTTGTAAAGCTTTTAAGTGTAATGACTTTTGGGAATCATTGCGACAGTAGTTGTTATCTATACCTAGAATATACAAAGAATTTTGGAAGAGTCCAAATTTCATGTTGAAGTCAGCGACTCTGATTCCCCTCGTGTTCGAATTTATGAGACCCCTTTCTAAGGCCAAATATCCTATTGGGCTCAAAATCCTGTTCATGTTTTTACCGTGATTTACAGTAAAAACATGAACAAATAATCCTTTATTTTCATCTACTCGAGAGTCCGCGAAAAGCCCAACAATCCCCGTTCCGAAGAACCCGCAGGCTGGTTCTTCGGAACGCTAACGGGATGGGCGCGCACGGATGGGCGGGCGTTAGTGGAGAGGGCGGTGCCGACTTGGGTTCCTCATCCTCTTCGCTATTCCGAAATTATTTTCTCGATTTCAAAGCGACATTTTGAACCGCGACTTGGGCATTGGTTTGAGAGGGCGTCTCCTATATCGTAAGCTGCCAAAATCCCGACCTTAGGGTGGACGGTGCCTTCAGTTGAAAACTCATCAGAAACTACTTCCTTCTTAGCATGCAAACAGGTGCTACACGATTAAAGGTGCCGTTAATGCATAAGATAAGCATGAAATTCCTCAAGCGACTGCAACTGTCCACTGATTTACTTAAATTGCTGTTTTACTTGATGTGGATTAATCTGATCGTTATCATCATTACTTGGTGCGTGAAGCTTACTGGGGATCTGACAGTGTGGATTATCTTTCTTCTATATGAATTCCTCCTTCATGAAGATTCGCCTCCAATCTCAGACTGGAAAACTTTGAGATCGCTCTTACACATGATCAAACAGTGACTTTTAAGTAAAACAGATTTTCAAAGAAAATTGCGTACTTGAATGGCAAAATACACATTCTTCAACACTTTCGAAACTGTCGCCTAAACTGATTCTAAGACTCAATGTAATAAAAGGTGTAGTTACTCTGCTACAAATTTACAAACGTAGTTCATAATCAAATAAACTCAACTAGTGATATTCTAATCATAGTCATAGCTTCTATTTGGAGCATACTTTCATCACATTGATTTTGTACGTGAGCTGCATTAGATTTGAAGCGAGATTTTTCGACCTTGTGTGAATGTGAATGCCCTAACGGTGCGCAACTTTGCAGAACAAGAGAAACAAATAAAGAGAGTTATACAAAGGAACGGCTCATGAAGTTTGTAGATCCCTGTTTCTGATAAGTGCTCCAGTTTTCGTTTGTGTCACCTCAAATGAGAATTTTAATCGTTATTGCGTCAATAATCTTGAATTATTCAGCCGGGAACAATTGTCATTTTGAGAACGACGTCTGAAAGCTTTTTGCAATAATACTTCAGCCGAGTTTGTACCAACGGCTTAGAGTTGTTGATAAAACGTCAGGAAAAATAGCTGTGCTAAAACTTCGTACGATGCTGACATTTTGGCAAATCATAACCGTTGTTGAAAACCGCCAAAATACATAAAAATATTCGATTGCTGAGGAGTTCGCCTAAGTTTTGGAACTTTTTGATTTGGAAAAACGCTCGGAAAATCATCATATAGTAAAGAGAGCGAATCAAACCACTGCCTTCCTTTTTTTGAGCCAAAAATAGTGTAAACCTACTGAATGATAGATATCGCATTCCAATCACAAGCAATATCCTTTGCTATGTGGCAAAAAATGATCGCCAGATAGCCGAGGCCATAGATTTTGTTGGCTTAAGAGGTTTTCAACATTCTGTACACTAAAATGTAACTATACACAGTGACGGAGCCTTTAATTAACTCTTTTTTTTGGCTTCTTGTTACCCTCGGAATCCGAATTTTCTTTGCTTTTTTATTGTTATGCTGCTTGAATAAAGGTTTCCCTACTGACTTTCACGCCAAAAGGGACTTTGCAACTTTAAGCAAAGTCATGGGGACTTCGTTTCCAAAAATGCTCCAATCAACGTGCGCCGGGCTCTGGCTACGCCTGTAAAGCCGGCCAACTGCGCGCGCAAAATTTCGGCATTGGCTTGGCTATTTGTTCACGCACAAATTTTGCCGCATTTTACCTGCACTGCAAGCACATTATATTACGCGGAAAATCTACTCGACTGTACAATGCTGGTCGCTGCTTAGTGCGCTACTGGAGAAGCGAGGTAGTAAGATTCTCTACTTTTAACACAGTTTAAAACCTCGAAATTCAATCTATTTCAGCCCCATGCCGAATACTATGCCTTGTAAGTGTCTTCATTTCAGCCCTGCTGCATGTAAATTGTTTGCCTGTCGAACTATTAGAGGAAACTAAGTTTTGCCGCTTTTCATTGAGTTTTCTGTCTTTCAACATGATGCACTCAATTTTTGCCATCATGTAAGTTATGCTTCTGTTGTGCCAAATTCTAACGCCGCAGTGGATTACAGTGAGTACATGGTATAAGGAAAAAATTACAAAAAATTATAGGTTCGGCTGAAATTTGGCAGGTGAGGGGGGGGATCCGACATGCTGACATGAAAACGACACTGAAACTGCATGGTAGGGGCTACTTTGTACGATTACTACGAATACCGTAGATTGACGGTGTATAGTCCCACCTTAACCAGAAAAAAGAAGCATTGATTCAACAAATGAAAAATGATACGTATTCGTTGGATCAAATAACCCCACTATACAGACTTGGCAAATTTTGATATTCCGGCTCTCCGCCTATTGAATTGTTTCGGCAGCCTGTACGACTTTGTGAAGACGTCAAACCTCGTCTTGGCTTTGCATTTTATTTTTCCTGCTGAGCCAAGTCAACCTCTAGTAACATATTGTGCACAGTTTTGGTCATTGTGCATGGTGTAGATTGCTAACGGCTTCATTTTGGCTGGTAACTCCATAAAACCTCGAAACGCATTAATTTTCAAAAAATGCCTCGAATTTTCCAATTCGTGCTCTAAATGCAGAACAGTTTGCGTAAATGTAGCACACATTACGTTCTACACACACTCTCAAAGTTTGAATGGGCCATA